CTCCTTAGTTTTCTTGGACTCACTGAGTCTCTTTGGGCTTCAGGAGTTTCTGGTTTCCAGCTTCAAGAGAGAAAGATAGATAATGCTTACCTGATTTCAGGTTCCTGAAGGAAAAGGCTCTGGGAAGAAGCTAACATAAGAGGAGGTGGAACTGAAGGTCACTATATTACAGACAATGGAGAACTTCCTCTTGGGTGAAAGCTAGGACTATCTCTCTTGGTTGAACTGAATTAACTTGCTTGCAATGGGAGAATTCTTTTACTCTGTATCATCTGTTTTATGTTCTCATGTCATACATTCTTTGAGTTCTGTTGTGCTATGATTTGGATAAATGGGTATTTGGATAAATTAGCTAATTGGTATATGTGTGTTCATTGTGGAACTGGTATTTGGTGGGAAGGAAGTAATAGATAAAGAGCTCCCAGAAATATCAGTCTGGTCCCAGAGGCATTATCTGAAGTCAGTGTAGTACTTCAACTATCTAGACATGCTGGTTCTGTCTCTGTCTTTCTCTGTATCTCTGTCTCTCTCTCTCTCTCTTTCTGCCTGTTTTGCTTTCTCTCTGTCTGTCTCTCTGCCTCTAACTCTTTCTCTCTCTTGGTTTAGGAGCTTATGATCTGTACTTTTCCTAGGAAGGCCTCATCAGAGCATATAAACAAAAGAATCGTTGATGTGGTTTTCAAGAACTTTTCTTGAGTGAGGTGAGATTCAAACCCAGGCTTCCTGTTTTGAAGTCCACTATTCTTTGTATTTCCCCACTTGGACAAAGAGTCTCATGTAATCTTTGTAAATGCCATGGAGAGATGTAGGATCAATTAATGTAAAATTAGATGGTTTCAAAACTTCTCAAATGATTGGAGATAAAGAGCAGTCATTTAATGACTTGATTTCAACCTCAGGGCAGAGCTGCCTTTGGAGAACTGTCCTTGGTCCTGTGCTATTCAAAATTTGTATTAGTGGTGAATCAAAGTATAAATGGCAAGCTTGTCAGATTTACAGATCACTTTAATCTGAGAGAGAATGACACCATGGATGACAGTTTGTATCTTTAAAAAGATTTTTATAGGCTCAAATGATGGATTGGATTTAATAAGTTGAAATTCAATAGGGATAAATATAAAATCTTATACTTATATACTTAGTATATACTTAGTCTGAAAAAAATCAATTTCACAAGTAGAGGATAGTGAAAGCATAGATATATAAGAGTTTATGTGGGAAAGATCTGGGGCGGGTTTTACTGGACTACAATCCTAGTGTAAGTAAACAGTGAGCGGCATGATAGCCAAAAAAAGCTGATGTAGCTTTGGATAGCATTAAAAGGCATACGGTGACAACATCAGAGAGGGGATAATTTAGCAGTTCTCTTTTCTGGTCACATTACATATATATTTGTATGGTCAGCAATGCTGTCCTTATCATTATAAGTCTTCAAATAGAGCTTAGATGACTACTTGTCAGGAATGTTACAGAGCAACATTCTCCTTTAACTCTTCTCAGAATTTCTAGCTTTCCTCAAAATACTGCTTAAATGCCCCCTCCTACATAAGACCTTTTCTGATCTCTCCTATTGCTTAATGTTCCCTTTCTCTTACTTGCATATATATACATATATATGTATAGTATTCTCTGATAGAATGTAGCCTCCTTGAAGGCAGGAGCTCTTTCCTTATTGACTATGAATCTCTAGGCCCTAGCAGAATATTCTGCACATAGAAGGTGCTTAATTAATGCTCATTTAATTGAACAGAAATGAATAGAGAGATTTCTGGTTACATCATATAGATTATATTAGGATTATTATTGCATATATGTAGATCTTGAAGTGAAGCAAAGGTCATCCAATCCAATGTTCCTCATTTTACAGATAAGGAAATTCAGGCCTATGGAGGTGAAGTGATTTACCCGAGTTATTGTAGGTAGTAGATGACAGAGGTGGAATTTGAACTCGGGTCCTATGACTCCAGGGCTAGTACACTTCCCATAGCCACCAGGTGATTTGACTTCTAAGGCCTTTCCAATTTTGAGTTCCATGATACTCACTTTACCCTTCTCCCTAAGGAGTTTCTCAGGAAAGTATTCTTTGGGGAATATTATGACATATGAGATTTGATACATGATATGATAAGTATATGAGCCTCACATACATATAATCAGTTCATAAAATTACTCTAAATGGCGCTCCCTTCATGAGTTATTAGTATCAACACTAAAGGGTCATTTTAAAATCTCAGAGGAATTTTCTATCTTTCCTCTCTCTCACCCCTTACATCTAAGCAACTGTGAAGTCCTGTTGATTCTACCTCTATACTATAGTCCCCTTTTGCCTCTTCCTCTCTACTCATTCTACTACCACCATTCATTGCCTCCTACTTGAGCTAAAAGAACTGGTCTATATATGTTCAGCTTCTCTTTTCTCTAGTTCTCCGTTTACACAGCTGCAAAATATGTCTCCCAATGTACCAGTTTGACCATTTCACTCCTCTGCTCATAAGGTGCAATGATGCCTCATTGTCGATAGTACAAAGAGTTCCTTCCTCATCATGATGACTAGAACCCTTGTATAATGCCAGTCATATTTAACACTTGTGACATATATGAAGAAGCAGCATGATATAGTGGAGAGAGAGCCATTTTCAGAGTCAGAAAGACCTAAGTTCAAATCTCACCGCTGGTGCATCTTGGCTTTGTGACCATGGGCAAGTGGTTCAACCTTTCAGGCAAGTCTCTAAGGCTGTACATTGCAGAGCAGTTGCTGATTTGCATTGGAAGATGGATTTCCTTCAAAAAGATATCCACAGAGTGATGAAATCATAAGTCTAGTAGACACAAAACAAAACAAAACCTTTAATGACCTTTTTAAAGTCACTGAACTGATAACTCCACTTGGGGCAACTAGGTGGCACAATGGATAGAGCACCAGACCTGAAGTTGGGAAGACTCTTCTTCCTGAGCTGAAATATGGCCTCAGACATTTACCAGCTGTGTGAACCTGGGCAAGTCCCTTAACCTTGTTTGCCTCAGTTCCTCATGTGTAAAAATGAGCTGGAGAAAGAAATGGAAATGGCAAATCATTCCAGGATCTTTGCCAAGCAAAACCCAAACTGGGTCATGAAGAGTTGGGCACAATGAAAAGAATTTAAAAAAATTTCAAAGTGCCAGGCTAGGCATGGGGATACCAGAGATAACAATGAAAAACATTCCCTGCCCTCAAGGAACTAACATTCCACTAAACTTCTTTCAGTCTTAACTGCTCCCAACTCCTTACACTTGTACAGGCCATCCGCAATGCCTAGTACGCATTTTTCCCACATAATTTCTTTTAACTTTTCTCTTTCTTCGAGAGGCAATGGAATGAATACAATGTTAAAAGCATGTTGAACTGGCAAAGAGACTCTGGTTTGAATTCTGACTCTGACAGTAACTAGTTGTGAAATGGTTGAATAAGTTGTAAGACATGAAGGCAAAGGAGTACTATTGTGCTGCAAGAAATTAGGAAATAAATGCTTTCAAAAAGACATGGAAAGATTTATAGGAACTAAGGAAGAATGAAATAAGTAGAACCAGGAGAACAATTTATACAACAATAATAACACTGTAAAAAAAATTAACAAATTTTCTTTCAAAGCTATAAGAACTATGATCAATACAATGATCATTCATGATTCCAGAGGACTGATGATGAAACATGCTATTCAATATAGACATGATGGACTTAGTGTATAGAATGAGACATATATGTGTATATACATATATGATATATTGCATATACATCTGTAATTGTTTGCAGCCATTGAAGGATTTGTTTCCTTCACTATGCATATTTATTTTTCTTATTTGTTTTCTTATTTTTTAATAGGATAGTGGATGGGAGAGAAAGATTTATGTTAATATTAAATATAGGAGTACTACAGATGTACAAAGTTGTATGCACATTCAGATAAGATCATTGTAGTCTTACTTTTACTTAAGTTCTTCACTTTGTCATGAAATAGGAATAATCTGTAAATGTTTATGATATAAAAACAAAACACATCAATAAACCTTTTTTTTTCAAAGATACATCTCCCTCCTTTATGCCATGAACAGCAGCTCACAAAACAGAGTTATGTCTATGGTTGCATTTATGCAGGAAGCTGATGGACAGCAAGAAGGCTCAGCTTGTACCAGTGAAATATAAAACTCCTGGAAGCAGGTCTCTGGCATGTTGGGTACATCTTAAATGGAAGATCCATTAGAGAATCCGGACAAAAATTACAGAGGCACTGGTGGCTGTAATTTGCATTCATGGGAGAGAATACACAAGCAGATGAAAGCACATAGTCATGAAATTATTTAAGAATACAGATGTGTGGGTAATATTTTCCCCAATTGACTTTTTTTTTCTCCATTTTAAAAGCAAGCCCAGGACGAGATGATGCCCTTTTCATATTAGCGATAGGAATAGCTGGCACCTAGTGGATAGATCGCAGAACTGCAAGCACTAATAATAGAATACAAAGTTTCAGCATTGGGGTTTGTAAAAAACGATGACAAAAAACAAACAAACAAAAAAAGCAGAATTAGTAGTTATTTCATATTTATTAAACACTGACAAAATGCCCAATTCCAGAATATGTAGCATAGAGAAATATATTTGACTCTCTATGCAAAGAGCACATAATCTGAGAAAAAAAGATACAAAAGAAGGGAAAGGGGGGGGCATGGAAAAAAGGTGTAGGATTTTGTATTTGTTAAAGTTAAATTAACTCCAGGATAATTTGATTCCAAAACTAGAAATATTCAGTCAATATATTTCTCATCATGTATAAATGATTATTTTAAAATTTTTAATTTTTCATATTTATCAGGCTTTCAACCTAAGGCTCTTCTCTTTTCCTAAATGAGGAAACTTTTGCCCATAAGACTGCCTTTCGTTTGCCACAAAATACCTGCAGTGGCTTCAGCGAATCATTTCGAGACGACTCCCTGATGTCCTGCTCCCTGCCGTCTCCCCCCAAGCACCTCATTTTAAAATTCAAGCCCTGGTCTCTCTTGTATCCCTTCACCTGGGCATTCTGCTTTAATCTTGGGAGCTCCTGCCCGTACTACACTGGCTTATCTCTCGTTTTCTCAATTAGTGTCTGTTCACCAGAGCCTTGAACTTAGTGCTGTCTTTTAGCCACAGGATCTTCGCAGGGTATACGAGAGCTGGCAAGTGTTCCTTCCTCTCTTCTCCCTTACTCACCCCCATCCCAAGTGAAAGAATGTGAAGTTAACGTTTTTCAAACATCTCAGCAACAAGGTAACTGAAAGAACAATTCCCTTTCTGGACTTTTAGAGAGAGATTCTCATTTGTATAGCAAAGACTACATTAAAAAGAAGTGTAACGTAGTAACTTCCCTGTAAGAGCTGGTGGGTAATGCTACCCTAAATAGAACCAACTCCCACTGGCTGGCTTTTGTGCAAGAACTAATTCTTTCAGGTGCAGTTCTATATAAAACCCAGAGAGGATTGGAGGATGCACAGGCAACTTCAAGCCCGTCCTGGTGCAGAAGGTAAGGACGACAACTCTTTAAACTAACAACTCGGAATGATTGTTCTAAGTACTAACGAAATCATTTCGGAAAACCTTTCAGATCTGGCAGCTGTTTCTTAAACGCTGAAATTGACTTTGTAAACTGATAATATGGGACTAATGCTTAGCAAGAGAGGGTCAGTAATTTTCTCAGCTGCTTTTCAGCTGATTATCAATATGCACCTGGTTTTGGAGATGGAAAATAAATTTCACATATTATTGGGTATGATGAAGGAGGGAATTATTCTTTCATTCCACTTCTACACTAGTCTGTGAAATGGCGCTCTCTTCATTGAAATACAATTGAAAAATTTGTATGCATTTTATGGACAGAGTCTCATCGTGATGGATGAGATTTTTATGCTTGACTCTAATCTTGAATATCTATCTTTTCTAATGTTTTAGCATTGTAAAAGAAACAAACCCAGAACGAGTAGGTATTTAATATTTATTAGGCACTGGTAAAATACTCCATTTCAGAACATGTAATATAGAGAAACACATTTGACTCTCTATGCAAGCAGCTACAATCTCAGAAAAAAAGATACAAAAGAAAAAAAGCAGGGAAAGGGGGCCAAGGAAAAAAGCTGTAGGATTTTATACTTGTTCAAGTTAACTCAAAAGACTTGGATTTGATATTTGATGAAGTTAAACAAATGATCAATCTACTTGATTAACCCCTTCCTGGAGCAGGGTTCAACACTTTGTCTTCTGCCACTACAGAGGAAAGAATACTCTCTAAAGAGTAAATTGGGTGGTGGGAAAGGGGTATGGTTAGGAAAGAGGGAATGAAAGACCAGGGAAGGAAAAAAATCTGCTCCAGATAAAGGAATGGAGGGCTTTCCCCTCTAAGTTAAGGATGGTCAGATAAATGAGAGAAATGGATGGGGCAATGAATTCACATGTCTGACAACTTTAAAGTATTTTTCAAGCAATCTATTTTTTTAAGTGGTGTGGAGTTAGAGTGTTGGTTTAAGTATTATATGATATATTATTTCTACATAAATTGTACACATATGGACCACCTTTGCTAAATAGTACTTTACTGCTAAAGGAAAGGTTGTTCAGTCTGTCTAGGTTGGACAAACTTTTTTCCTGATGAAGTTATGCAGCTTCTGAATTGACAGAGCCTCTCATGATATCCTTATGGGCAAGACTGAGAGATAAGGGTTAAGAAATAGTTTTCCATGAATTCTAGCAGTTCTTTAGTTGTCCTTCATGATGTTTTAATTGCAGTCATATCCATGGCAGGTAAGAGTAAAAGTGGGGCAGCATATTTTTAAGAAAGATTTTTGGCTTTTCCTTTGGAAGCTGTGGGGTTGAGATAGACAGTTACCTTTTTCACTTGTGCATCAGAAGGAATAAATTGATTTCTAAATACCTGGGATTCATGAGAGGATACTCTCCTTAGTAGGTTATCCTAGTGTTTTCCATACATCCAATGCACTTAGGTGGATTTGGAAATGGTTGAATGACTCGTCCCCAAAGTTAAAGACTGTCAACATGAAGAAAGATCTCTTCTTGTTCTCTATAGTGGTGCAGGGTATGTGTTTTTGGCTTAATTCCGTCTAATATTTTTATCAATAATTTGGATGAAGATATAGATTGCATGCACATCAAATTTGCAGATAATACAAATAGTATCCAGAAAAGATTTTGACAGGCAAGGGTGATGAACTGAATGTAAAAAAAGATGAAATTTGATAGAGATAAATACAAAGTCCTTCATTTGGGTTAAAAAATCTGCTTCATAAATTTAAAAAAGATACTTGCCACTCAAAATCCTAGGCACTGAAATATATGAAGGACCATCAGTTGATAGAGAGATTATATTTCTTTTACATGGTCCCAGAGGGCATGGTCTAGGTAGGAGCTATGGTTGGAAATGGCAAAGAGTGAGACTGTGACTTGATATAAGCAGCAACTTCCTAACATTTAGAGCTGTCCAAAAGTGGAATAGTCTACCTTAACAAGTAATTAGTTCCTCACAACTTGAGGACTTCCAGTGAGAGATGTTTAGAGGGGATTGTTGCTTAGGCACAAATTGGATTAAATGATTTCTGAGGTCCCTTTCAACTCTGAGATTATGTGCTTCTGTGTTCTATGTTCTATCTTGTGTAAGGTTTGGCAGTTATCAATTAGTAAGCATTTGTTAAGAATCCATTATGTGCTAGGGCTAGGCACTGGGCAAAGTGCTGGGGAGACAGACAAAAGTGTAAAAGTTCCTGTCCTCAAGGAGCTTAACATCATATTGGGGGAAAAAAGTGCACATATATAGAAAATACATACAACATTACTATGAGTGGGCATTAGCTGCTGGTGGCAATCAAGAAAAGCTTTATGTAGAAGGTTTGAGCTGAGTTTAAAGGAAAGTAGGGCTGAGAGACAGAGGGAAGGAGGGAATGCATTCTAATGATGGAAGATAGGACAGTACCATAAAAATGGGCGATAGAGTGTCGTGCATAAGGAACAGAGAGAAGGTCATTTTGACTTGACAATAGGGTATGGGAAGGAGAATAATATAAGACTGAAGTCAAATCCTGAAGGTCTTTAAATGTCAGATGTGGGAGTTTGTATTTAATCTTAGAGTAACAGGTATTGGATTTTATCGAGCAGTTGAGTAACTTGGTCAGGCCAATGCTTCAGGGAATTTACTTTGGCAGTTATGTGAAGGATGGATTTTAAAGGGGAAAGACCAGAAGCAGGAAGACTAGGTAGGAGGTCATTGCAATAACAATAAAGCTAACATTGGCATCTGCTTAATGACCTAGGGAAAGCAAAAATAGTATACAGCATTATCATTTTCAAGAGTGCACCCATGGTGTTAACTGGATAAGGTAAAAATTAATTTTATGTAAAACGTCTAGAATATTTCACTGGCTCAATCTATCAATTCCAGTGAAAAAATAGTAAGGAAGTAAAAGTAAGGCAAAAATAACCCATACCAGGCTGGATGGATGATATCAGTCTCTTTTTCTTTATTAATTGTACAAAATAGTTGGCATTGCTCTTCAATGTTCAGAGAGGAGTAAAGCATTGTGGATGCTCCCCAAATTAGCTGATTTTTGAGAACAGTTTGAAAGCTGCCAGAAAGCAGTTTGAAGCTATCCTCCATCCATATCTCTTCCTCACGGCAGCGAGGTGGTGCAGTGGATAGAGCGCTGGCCCAGGAGTCAGGAGGCCCTGAGTTCAAATCTGGCCTCAGACACATGCTACTCACTAGCTGTGTGCCCCTGGGCAAGTCACTTAACCCCAATTGCCTTCCCCCCCAATTGCCTTCCCCCCCTGCCCTCATTAACAATAATGTATCTCTTTCTCTTAAAGAAATCACTAGAGGCTCTACCAAAGTCAAATGTCATTCGGAAGCTGAGCTCTAGGAGTAAACTATGCCAGTGTCAGACTCAGCAAGCTTCCCTTTAGCAATAAGGCTGCCTTTGTACTATGTAGCAATAATGGTCCATATATGGATAACTATTTTTAACAGCAGGATCTGAGAGGTTTGTTTCACAGATGATTTATCAAAGATGGTATCAATGATACACATTGCTGGCTAGTTTATCTTAAGACTCGGTCCAAACTGTTACTAGACATATGGCCCAGGAATCATCAGTTTTTCTCCAAAAGGATGGTGGATTTAAAGCTGGAAGCCCTGTGCCTTGCACATAAGAGCTTAATAAAAGAGGCTTAAATAAAATGGTTAAATTAGATTGAAGCAAACTGAGATCATAGGCTGTAAATTCCTTAAGGGCAGAGACTGTTTCATTTTTATATTCATATCTCCAGGTATAGATATAGAGATATCCATATCTATCTTGGCAATAGTAAGTAGGTCTTTAACAATTTTCTGAAATGATAAAATCATTTAACAAATGCAGGAATGTAAACAGTTCAACTTTAATAAGTCTCTTATGAGTTCTCTTTCCTGTTTACCTCTTCCTGTTCCACTTGAGCCTTGTATTTGAAAGTCAAATTTTCTATTCAACTCTGGTCTTTTCATCAAGAATGCTTGAAAGTCCTTTATTTCACTGCATGACCATTTCTCCCCCTGAAGGATTACACTCTGTTTTGCTGGGTAGGTGATTCTTGGTTGTAATCCTATCTCCTCTACCCTCTGGAATATTATATTCCAGGCCCTGCGGTCCCTTAATGTAGAAGCTGCTAAATTTTGTGTTATCCTGATTGTGTTTTCACAATACTTGAATTGTTTCTTTCTGGCAGCTTGTACTATTTTCTCCTTGACCTGGGAACTCTGGAATTTGGCTACAATATTCCTAGGAGTTTTCCTTTGGGGATCTCTTTCAAGGGGAGATTGGTGGATTCTTTCAATTTCTATTTTGCCCTCTGGTTCTAAAATATCAGGGCAGTTTTCCTTGATAATTTCTTGAAAGATGATGTCTAGGCTCTTTTTTTGATCATGGCTTTCAGATAGTGCAATAATTTTTAAATTCTCTCTCCTGGATCTATTTTCCAGGTCAATTGTTTCTCCAATGAGATATTTCACATTGTTTTCTAATGTTTCATTCTTTTGGATTTTTTTTGCAGTGTCTTGATTTCTCCTAAAGTCACTAGCTTCCAATTGCTCCATTCTAAGTTGTAAGGAAGTGTTTTCTTCAGTAAGCTTTTGGACTTCCTTTTCCATTTCACCAATTTTGCTTTTTAGGGTATTCTTCTGCTCATTGGCTTTTTGGACCTCTTTTTCCATTTGGGTTAGGCTATTTTTTAAGGTGTTATTTTCTTCAGTATTTTTTTGGCTCTGCTTTAGCAAGCTGTTGACTTGTTTTTCATGATTTTCTTGTATCACTCTCCTTTCTTTTACCAGTTTTTCCTCTACTTCTCTTACTTGCTTCTCAAAATCTTTCTTGAGTTCTTCCAAGGCCTGGGACTAATTCATATTTTTCTTTGAGGCTTTGGATGTAGGAGCTTTGACTTTGTTGTCTTCTTCTGTGCTATGTTTTGATCTTCTTTGCTACCAGAAAAAGA